GTACTCACGCGGCTCAAATGGGACCTCGCCATCCCTGGGGGGCTGCGATCTGTGAAACTGTCGCCACTTTCGCGGCCTGCTGGGGGGACCAGCACAGTGACGCCACACGCAGATTCGAATTAGACCTCGCCATCCCTGGGGGGCTGCGATCTGTGAAACTGTCGCCACTTTCGAGGCCTGCTTGCGGGGCCCAGCACAGTGACGCCTCCCAAGTAGCTTACACATCAAGTTGATTGTCCATACAAGTTTCGGCCAACTCCTCGTTTCCATTGATACAAATGGGTTGGGTACGTCACAGGGTAATTTGAAAGGGAGGGCTTGCCTACTCGCAGCAAGCAATATACCGACACCCCCGCCGTCGGACGGCGGGGGTGTCGGTATATTGCAAGTTGCGAACCATCGACGCGGGGAAGCGTTGTGGTCAGAATCAGTGCCAAATCCGGTCAAAATCCGCTGCTGGCGTCAAAGAGGTTCCCATGAAGGACCAGCTAACCGCCGTCCCTGTCAAAAACCAACGCAAAATGGTCGCGGGGCGCCTGCGCATGCTGCAGACAGATTTGGAGGCATAGTGATGCAAAACAAAATGAATTCTGTTTTGTTGCTTACAAAGGGTGGGTGGGGGGGGGTCTCCTTTGTCCTGGTTGGCTGCCGGTCGCCTGGGGGAAGGGGTGTTTCTGAATCAGGAACAGCGGTAAGCCCTTCCCCGAGGGGGAAGCAGGGGGGTTGGAAGAGGAAAGCGCTCTAAACCACTCGTGCCCAGAGAGCTGGTGTGATTCTGGGCAGGAGCCGCCCTCCATCCTTGGAACTGCTGCGGACGTGTACGACGCATGTGCGCGGCGCTGAGGCGAGAGCCACATCTTGACAACGGCCCGCTCTCCGTCGTTGATCAACGGGCGAAGAACGGTATAAAATAAACTTTTTCGCTGTCGGGGGCGCCTACCCCTGGGCGGCTGGAAAGTTTATACCCCTACGGTGCCACCGTAAGGGTATAAACTGCCGCAAACTTCAAGCGCCAGGACGGGAGGTGGTGAAGGAGTCCTGGGCGACACGCCCCGCCTGCCCTGCCGGCACCGCCTGCGGGTGCGACAGCGGGGAGGCATCCACAAGGAAGAGGGACGGAGGCGAGAGCCACATTTTGACAACGGCCCGCTCTCCGTCGTTGAAGCTGCCGCAAACTTCAAGCGCCAGGACGGGAGGTGGTGAAGGAGTCCTGGGCGACCCGCCCAGCCTGCCCTGCCGGCACCGCCTGCGGGTGCGACAGCGAGGAGGCATCCATGAGGAAGAGGGATGGAGGAGGAGGAAAAGTAGGAGTTCGAGTAGAAATAGCAGGAGGAAGAAGAGGAGCAGGAGGAGGAGGAGGAGGAATCAGGAGGAGGAGGAGGAATGAGGAGGAGGAATCAGCAGGAGGAGGAGGAGGAGGACGAGGAGGAGGAGGAGGAGGAGGATGGTGGAGGAGGAGGGGGAGGCGTCCTCCTTAGCTGCCGTGCTCCTGTTTTTTTGTTCTCCGCCTTTTCGCCTCCGATGGGCAACTGAGGCGGCCTCAGGAAGACTCCATACCAGCCCGCAGGGCCAAGGCCTTTACCAGCACCCCCAGAGAGCCCCAGGAGGGCTCCAAGAGGTGATGTTTCGCGCTCCGTCGGGGACCTTGGTTGAGAGCATCCTCCTTTTGATCTATGGTCTTTAGCGTTGTCTGGCTTCAGAACGCCCAGGACTGCGCAAGAGACCGATCGCCCCAAGACAGCTTACCCAACCCCAAGGCAATCCACGATGGCCTCGAAGACGGCCCAGATGCCCTTGAATTGCTTCAGATTGTTTCTTAGATGACCAAGACAATCTCCAAGACCACCGAGACGGCACACGATAGCCTCCAAGTCAGCCCCAGAGGTCCTGAGACGCCCCCAAGCAGCTCCAAGATAACCCCAAAGAAGCCCCGAAGAGGCACACATCGTGAATGCGCTTCATGCTGTTTGCCCGATGCTTACGTACTCGCCTTTTCGAACTTCAATGCGACCCAGACGGCCCAACAGACCCCAATCTCGCCCTAAGAAGGCCCTTCAGCGTACGGGTGAGACGGGGCCCTGCTGGTCATGCCTGGATGGCCGGAGCACTGACCTAACTCATTGTGACCCTGGGGCGACAGTTCCACGGCCGATTGGCCAGGTCAGTGCTCGGGCGGCCCCGGTGGCACTCGAGCATGTTCGTCGGCATGGCGGTGCGTCTGCTCCCCAGTGAAGGGCAAACCCCTCCCCGAGGGGGAAGAGGGGAAGGGTAGAAGAGCTCGTGCTTGAAACCGCCTGTGCCCACTCCTTTCCTGCCACCCACCGCCGCGGCTGCTCCGCCTGCCCCGCCCTCTCGCTCCCCGGGCCCTTCCTTCTCATTTCCCTCCTCCCCCTTCTCGCCCTCCTCGTCTCATCCTCTTCCTCTCCTCCTCCTCCTCCTCCTCCTCCTCCTCCTGCTCCATTCCTTTTCTTTCTAAATAATTCTTGACGCTTCGCGTATCCCCACCAGCATGAGTGGGCCGGCCAGCTCGCGGCGCGTTTAGCTCCTAATTAGGCTGCTGTCGTCACCCGTAGCGCTTCTGACTCCGCTAACGCCCTCGCTAGCGGACGCGACCGAAAACATATCCCCACCAGCAGCGTGGCTCCTGGCATTCACGCTGCCGTTTTGCAGCGGCAGTTCTGCATGGTATCAGCACGTACGGCCGTGAGCCGTTCCTGGCTTTCGGGTGCTATGCTTTGCTCGGCATCCTGGCCTGCGGTTCCTGCATTTTCCCACCAGCCTGATTCAGTTTGGCCTGGCAATTTGATGCACGTCGGTGATGGTGGACCGCTTCCGACCTCCTGGGCCTGGCGCCCCCAGCTCACCGCAGCGCAGCTCGGCGGCTTAGGCAGCTTAGGTTTGACCCCGCAATCTAGTTTGCTGCTCGCTGTAAATTAGTAAGGACCGCGCCCCGGACTTACCGACCCGCCGCCTGCGCCTTCGCTTGCGGCCGCGACCAAAAAAATCCCCACCAGCATCTGGCTCGGCGCACCTGAAAGCTTGCCCCCCTTGCAGGGATGCATAGCCCTTGCCGCGCTCAGCCCCCCGCGTGCTGCCCCTCGCGCAGGCACAAGCGCTTGCGGTTTCCGCTATCGCCCGCGGGGTTGCCCCACGCCGCAGTCACGGAACACCTCACTGCCAGCTCATTATTTGCCATTTTGGCGTGCACCTCTGGCTGTTGCTTGCTGCCGATGGCACCCCCTCTGTGAGCGCCGCGCGGCCCGCCCCGGCTAGTCTCACCTCCCGCTGTTCTCTAGTTGTCTCTCTTTTCCTTTTTCCCGTGTGCAATTTAGGCTTTTGCTCGTTAGTGGTAGCTTTGGACGGCGCGCGGCCCTTCCGCTTGCGCTCGCGAGCAAAAAAGTATTCCCACCAGCCCATCCAGAAACGCTGCCCATGAGAGTTGACGGGGGGAGAGGAGAACAGACACGCATAGTCCAACAGCGAGGGAGGCTTGGGAGGCTCCGTGGCCATCTAGAGCCGTCTTGGGGCGGTCTCGGGGCCGCTTGGAGCCATCTTGAGCCAGCTTGGGCTATCTGAGCCATCCTGGAACTCATCTTGGGCTCTCTGCGGCCACTCGGGGCCTCTTGGAGGCCTCTCGGGTGCCTCTTGGAGGCCTCTTGGGGCTTCTTGGGGCGCTCTTTGGGCCCAGTTGGGGGCTTCTTGGGAACCCTGGAGGGCCTCTTGGGGCCATCTTGGAGGCGGCCGGTCAAAAGAGGGGGGGTGCTCGATGTTCGTCCCCCTGGGGACCACGATCCTCGTGATGGGTGTGTCAAGAAATTGCCTTCCCAGGGGCCGGAAAAATTACCTTGTGACACCTCGCGGCCCCCCCCACAAAACCTCAGGGATGGGAGGGGGAGGTTTCCCTTCCCCGAAGGGAAGAAAGGTTGTGGAAGAGGAAAGAGACCCTCCTCAGACCACCTGTCGCCCAAAGGGCTGGTGGGATTTGTCCTTGCCGCACCCCGAGGCCAGTTTTTAGGGCGGGCCCGGCGTTTCGCTTGAGATTTCCTCACCATTGATGACCCTGAAGCTTAAACATTGACCATACTTTCACGGATTGAAGGCAGGTTGTTTTCAAAATGCGGTTCTCGTTTTAGCGCCGCTTACACTCGGCTTAAACATTGCAAGAGATTCATGGATTCAAGACGGATCGTTTGTGGTTCTCGCTGTAGCGCCGCGTACATTCGCTTTTTAGACAATTGCAAGAGCTTCACGGATTTAGGGTGGCTCTTTTTCAACATGTGGCTCTCGCCTTAGCGCCGCACACATTCGGTTTTCAAATTCTCAAGAGTTTCATGGGTTCCCATGACCAACGTACCAGAAATTGCGTGTTGGAAGGACTCAGGGTTATGAGGGTGCAGCAGTTATGTTGATTCGCGGTGTCGAAGGCCCAGGAATGGCGTTCTGGCGCGGTTCAGGATCCTCAAGACGCAACAGTAAGGTTGGTCCTTGGCGTTGAAATCCCGGGAACATATTTTTGCATTAGTCAGGGTCTTAAAACGGTTGTCTTCCAACGAGGCAGTCCCCTCAGTGGAAATGAACCGTTGTATGGGGCCTCTGAAGGCGGAGGTTGGACGGAGGGTTTATTCCACCACCGTTGCTGACTTTTGTGTTTACACTGGTCCTCCTCCTCCTCCTCCTCCTCCTCTTCCTCCTCCTCCGTCTCCTTTTCCTCCTCCCATCCGCCCCTCCGTAGCTACAGTCATCCTCTCCTCTCTCTCTCTCTCTCCCGCCTCGTCCTCCTCGTGCCATTCTCCCCCCCTCCTCATCCTCCACCTCATCCTGTCGCTGCTGCTGGCGCCAACATCAAGTCGAGGCATTGGCTGCTGTTGCCCACCCCTTCGCTTTCATCCTCCTCCTCCACCTCATCCTGCTGCTGTTGGTGCCTCCCAAATCAAGTCGAAGCACTTGCCGCTTCTGCCCCTCCTGATCCTCCCCATCTCTTGCGCGACGCCTGCGTAGAGGAGCAGAAGTTCCAGCGCAACCTGGCCGAGGTGGACTTCCGCCTCGAGCGGCAGAAGCTTCACCGCGAGGACAAACTCCTCCTCCTCCTCAGTGTAGGCTCGTCCTGGTCCCCTTTTCACTCTGGATTTAAATTGGGCCGGGGGGAAGGGCGAACTCCTCCCCCTCCTCCTCTTCTTTTCTTGCTGCTTCTCTTCCTCGTCGTCGTCCTCCCTCACCCCTACTCTTCCTTCTTTTTATCATTCGTATTATTAGTTGTATTGTTATTATTGTTATGTATTACTTCTTCTGATGTTAATATTATTCGTATTCCTCCTCCTCCTCCTCCTCTTCCTCCTCCCCCCCCCTGTCATCCTTGTCCTTCGTCCCTTCTTCTCCTCCGCGCCTTTCATGTGATCATCATCTCCGATTTCCCTTTCCACCCTTCCCTCCTCCTCCTTGCCCCTTCTCTGTCATCATTATCCTCCTCCTCTGCCTCTGCCTCGTCCATCCTCGTCCTCCTCCTCCTCCTCGTCATCATAACCATCATCGCCATCATCAGCATTATTATCACCATCATCATCCTCCTCATTATCATCATCCGCATCATCATCATCATTATACTTGTCATCGTCATCGCCATCATCATCAGCATCATTATCATCGTTACCATCACCACCACCACCACCACCACCATCATCATCATCATCATTATCATCATCATCATCATCATCATCATCATCATCATCATCATACTCATCATAACCATCATCAGCAGCATCGTCATCGTCATCATCATTATAATATTCATCACCATCAGCATCATCATGCGCATCATCATCATCATCATCATCATCATCATCATCATCATCATCATTGTCAGCAGCAGCATCATCACCATCACCATCACCATCACCATCACCGTCATCATCGTCATCATCAGCATCGCTATCACCAGTATCATCAACATCGCCATCATCATCCCCAGCATCAGCATCGCCATCATCATCGCCATCATCACCATCGCATCGCAATACTCAGCATCATCATCTTTGTCATCATCATCAGCATCATCGTCATCATCAGCATCATCCTCATGAGCATTATCGTCACCATCATCACTATCACCATCATCAGCATCAGCATCTTCATCAGCAGCAACAGCAACATCATCCTCAGCATCATCATCATCAGCATTCTCATCGCCATCGGCGTCGTCATCTTTATTTTTATCCTCCACCTCCTCCTCCTCCTCATCATCATCATCAGCAGCAGCAGCAGGACCGTCATCGTCGTCATTATCCCCCCGAACTTCCCCCGTCCTGCCACCCCTACTCCGCCTCGAGCGCAAGAACTTCCACCCAGAGGGCCGGCATTGCGAGAGCCAAGAGGGGCGGAGGAGAAGGGGGGGTCGGAAGCAGCTGTTGCTGTGGAGGAGGAGGAGGGGGAGGAGGAGGAGGAGGAGGAGGAGGAGGAGGAGGAGGAGGAGGAGGAGGAGGAGGAGGAGGAGGGAGGAGGAGGAGGAGGAGGAGGAGGAGGAGGAGGAGGAGGAGGAGGAGGAGGAGGAGGAGGAGGAGGAGGAGGAGGAGGAGGAGGAGGAGGAGGGGGAGGAGGAGGAGGAGGAGGGGGAGGAGGAGGAGGAGAGAGGAGATTGGAGAAGGGACGGCGGAAGCGTTGAGGTGGGGGGGAAAGAGGGGTCGATGGGGGTAGCAACGATGGGGGACGGAAAGAGGAGGGGGAGGAAGGAAAGGAAGGGAAGATGGGGGGAGGATGTGGGAAGGGATGGAGAAGGTGGAAGGCGAGGAGGGTCGAGGCGAGCGTGTTAAGGGGGATGAGAGGGGGAGGGAGGAGTGGAGGGCGGGATGGGATGGGGGGGGAGTGGGTGGGGAAGGGGGGCAGAAGAAGAGGGTGAGAGAGGGGAGTGCAAAAAGGGGAGGCCTCCTCATCTCTTTCTTCCCCTTCTATTTCCTCGTCTTCCTCCTCCTCCTCCTCCTCCTCCTCCTCCTCCTCCTCCTCTTCCTCCTCTTGCGTAGATTCATCCTGCTCCTCCAACTCCTTCTCCTTCCTGCTCCCTCCAGTTCCTCCTCCTCCTCCGCCTCCTCCTCCTTCCCACCCCTCCCAATCCTCTTGCTCCTTCTCCTCCTGCTCCTCATCCTCTCTCTGCTCCTTTTCGCCCTCTTTCCTCAACCCGCTGATGCCGCTCCTCCCCCTCCTGCCCCTCCTCCTCCTCCTCCTCCTCCTGTTTTTTTTTGTTTTGATTGCAATGACGTTGTCTAGCGGAGGCGCAGCGCCTGAAGACGCCGAACGACGGAATGCAAAGGCCTTAAACCGACGCGTTCTGATCAACAATGCATGTCTAATAGCAGCGAGCGCCCGAAAGTGCGAAGCTGGGCAAAGGTGAACGGACAAGTGGAATGGCCCACGAGGGCATCGAAGTGGGCACGGCGGCAAGTTTTCATCTCATCCTCCTGCCGCTCCTCCTCCTCCTCCTCCTCCTCCTCCTCCTTCCTCCTCCTCCTCGTTCTCCTTCCTCAGGATGTGCGCGACCTCATGGAGCTGACCGTGGGGCGGATGGACCTCTACCACGTCGTCGGCACGCTGCTGCTCACCTTCTGCATCTCCTGGCGCGCCCCTGCCGCCTCCCAGCGACGGCGGGCTCCAGCAGGCCTCGGCCCCCCAGGAGCCGGCGCCACTGCTGCACTCCGCCCTCGGAGCTCGCGGCCCCCGTCGCTCGCAGGAGGTGCGCGCTGCGGGGCCCTCGCTGGCCCAGACGTGCTCGCGCCGCACGAGCATCAGGGCGGGAGGCGTGCGGCCCTTCTCGGCCTCCCGGTGCCCTCGCTGGGCCTCGGGGCCGTCGAAGGACGGCTCGGGGTGAGAACGCAGCCCTTGGGACGAGGTCGGGAGTTCTGGGGACCGCGCATGGAAAATTCGAAGCATCGCACGTGTGGGTGTGGGTCGCCCAGAGCGGCGCCGCTCCGAGACGTGGCCGCGCGAGAGCGCCGGTGCCTCGGCAAATCGAACACTTGCGCACAGCGCCGCCGTGCTGAGCCGCTGCTTGGCAGGAGGGGAACGGGTCCCTGGAGGAAAGGGGTCTGGAGCCCCCGGAGAACCAGGCATTCTGCAGTTCTTGCACACCCGGTGTGTCCCAGGGCCATGACAGGTCGGTCGGGCTCGAAAGATGCAGCAGGAGTGCGGGGCCGAGGGCACCCGCCGTGGTCTTTCGCGAGGCTGCATGCCTTCCTTCGCAGCGTCGGGTCTCAGGGAGCGGGGCCTGCAGGAAAGGGGGCCTCGTGGAGGGAACGTCGCCGTTGTTTGCGGGCCCGCTGCGGGCTGCGGGCCCCCCAGGGTCGCCGGAGCGCGGCCCGGGGTGAAGGACGCTCCTGGAGGAAAGGGGTCCCGTGGAAGGGTTTCGCCGCTCGTGGCCCCCCCGGGGGGTCCGAGGGCCCCAGGGCCGAGGCGGAGGCGGAGGCGCAGGCGGAGGCGCAGGAGGCGGCGTCAAGACCTCCGCCGCGGAGGCCTCCACGGACGAGCTCTGAGGGCGCCGCTGTGGGGAACGGCTGGGGGGTCTTCGCTTCTCGCGGGAACTCGCGCGTGAGCGCGGCCGAGTCCGTCGAAGGCGTCCCAGGATGGGGGGGCTGGCCCCTGGGGGAGGCCCCGGGGGCTCCTCGCCGATGCGCCCGAGAGCGACTTCCGCTGTACCCCGCGCGAGGGGCGCGGGAGCTCGGAGACGAGCGCCGCCGCCCGCCGCCGCCGCGGCCGCCGCCCAGGTGGGGTTGGAGAATGATGATGAGGAGGAGGAGGAGGAGGAGGAGGAGGAGGAGGAGGAGGAGGAGGAGGAGGATGGGGAGGAGGAGGAGGAGGAGGAGGAGGAGGAGGAGGAGGAGGAGGAAGACCAGTGCAAATCCAAGACTCATCAACGATGTTGGAATACACCTTCCCTCCAGGCTCCCAATTCATAGGCCCCTACACGGATTCATTTCCACTGAGGTAAGTGCCCCGTTGGGGGACAACCGTATGGGAAAACCCTTGAAGCATGCCAAAGCACCATTCTCAGGATTTGAACGCCACGAGTCAACGAGATTGTTGCGTCTTGACGATCCAGAATCGCAACATAATGCTATTCGTGGGCTTTCAGCATCGCGATTTAAAGTAACTCTTGTGCCCTGACATTCCCGAACCGTTCTAAAGCACCAGTTCTGGTACGCTAACCATGAGAAACAATGAAACTCTTGCAAACGAATGTGCGCGGCGCTGAGGCGAGAATCACATTTTGAAAGGGAACCGCCTTCAAGCCGTGAAGCGGATGCACATGTTTAAGACGAGTGTTCGCGGCGCTAAGGCGAGAGCCACATTTTGGAAGCGACAGGAGGAGGGGAGGGAAGGTCGGTGAAGGAAGGGAGGGTGGGAGGGAGAGGGGAGGGAAAAGGGGGACCAGGAATGTCGTATTTGCCACTCTGGTCGGTTGTGCCCAAAATTTTTCTCCCCATCCCACTCGCTTCCCCATGCCCCAGGACCGCCACGCGTCCCCCCTCACTTGATGACAAACTTCGCCCGAGGTACACTGGCAATGGAATCATCACCGCCGGCTTACCGAGGTGGGCGGGCTCGCGAAGCTCCCCTTGCTCCTCTCCCTCCTCTTCCTCGCCCTTTCCCTCGCCCTTCCCCTCCTCCCCCTCCTCCTCGCCCTCCTCCTCAGCGCCCTCCCCTTCCTCCTCATCCTCGTCCTCGTTCTCCTCTTCCTCTGGCTCTCTTCCCCATCCCTTGTCTTCTCCTGGGATCATATGCTTGAGCCCGCTTTGGCGCTGGACGCAGACACCTCTGGCGTGACAGGGCCCCCCCCGAGCGCGCGGGCCGCTGCGGCGGCGTCGCAATGCAGAGGCCGGCAGGCCGCGCACCGGTGGGCCACCCTTCGGGAAGGAGGAGCGTACTCCAGATTTCGTAATAAAAGGGAGGGGGTCTGGACCCTCCAAGACAAGCCATTTCAGACCTCCCCCGTGGGAGAACCCTCCAAAACATCGTCCCCAGACCCCCCAGGCCCTCCAAGATAGCCTGGAAGAGACCCCCCCCCGAAATGAGACCCCCCTCCCTTTATTACGAAATCTGGAGTACGTATGACACGCTGTCGTTTTCGGCCTCGCGCAGAGGGGGGTAGGGGGAGGGGGGAAGGCTTCTTAGAAGCACCCCTGCTTCGCAAAGCTGGTCTCAAAGCGATTCGAACGGAAAATCGCTTGAGCATCGATCATGCTTCGAGCGATGTTCCAACGGCTTGGTATTCCGGGGGCGAGGAATGCTCCTGTTCGACCTGCTTGGCTCTCCTGCTCTGTTCGTGGTCATCCCCGTCATCCTCCTCTTCGTTCTTGCTCGCCTTGATCTCCCTGCTCCACCTCGTGACCCTGCTGCTCGTGTCTTCAGGTGGTTTGCGACGCTCTTCTTGATCAACAACTTCTGTGCGGTGGGGTACCTCATCTTCTCGGTGTGTCGGGGGCGACGTTGGGGGAGGGGGAGGAGGATGAGGAGGAGGAGGAGGAGGAACGGGAGAAGTAAAGAGAAGGAGGAGGAGGAGGACGATCAATGTAAACCCAAAAACCATCAACGATGTTGGATAAACCCTCCCCTCCCCCCAAGCTCCCTCTTCTTAGGCCCCATACGAGGATTCATTTCCACTGACGGAAGTGCCCCGTTGGGAGCCAACCGTTTGAAGATCCTGAAGCGTGCTAAACCACCACTCTGCATTCCAACACCACTAATCAACCTGATTGTTGCGTCTTGACGATCCTGAATCGTGCCAGAACGCCAGTCCGCGAATCAGCGTAACTGTTACGCCTGGACGGTCGTGAACCGGTCTAAAGCAAAACCCCTACAATTTGTTCTGACGAACGTGCGCGGCATTGAGGCGAGAACCACACGTTGAGAAACAACGGCCCTCAAGCCGCGAAGCTCTTGAAAGTATTTGAGGCGAATGTGCGCGACGCTAAGGCGAGAACCGCATTTTGAAAACGACCTGTCCTCAGTCCGTGAAATGGCTGCTGTTTTTCAAGGCGAATGCTCGCAGCCCCAAGGCGATAGCCACATTTGAAAACGACCCGCCCTCGATCCGTAAAGCTCTTGCAAATTTTAAGACGAATGTGCGCGGCGCTATGGCGGTTACCACACTTTAAAAACCGCCCGCCCTCCACTGGTCAGGGAATCTCAGGCGAAA